GCTACCAATTTCTTAAACAATTCCTATGTGTTCAGTACTTTAAATGTTACCTCATTTAATCCTCACACTAAGCATAACATTGTATGAGGCAGAAACCACTATTTTTCAGATCATAAAACTGAAACCATAACTGCCCACAATCACACAACCATTAAGTAAAAAGACCAGCACCTGCATCCAGGTAGCCTGACTCCAAAGCCCAAGCACATCTGTTACACTATGGTCCTTTATCCTCAGGATCCACCTACCTGTTAATATATATCCCACACAATACCAAAGATATGTGAATGAAGAGCCTACACCCTTTAAAAATAATTCTCACATAACTACAGGTTCAGACAGAGTTCCACTGGCAAAGCTGCCTGTGAAAACCTGCCCTGGGAGATCTGCCCACACACTACACTAATTAATCTACTTTCATAAAAACCATGGGACTGATTTTGAGCTGTGCAGCATGAAATGTATGTTCAGTAGCATTGTTTTTACCAGAAAGCCATTCTAAATGAACCAGATGGGTTTTTTTTTTTTAAGTTCTTCAGCTAATATCTCAAATTTTAAAATTTTCTCACCCTTACCAGAACATGATAAAAAAATAAAATACCCCATAGTCAAAGAAAGAAAGATAATAAAAGACAAAATAGATTTTAAATTCTGAAAAAATAGGAAGTGAAGATGCTCCATTAAGTCTCCAAAGTTTAAGGCAAAAACTAAAAGCAAGTTATCAGAGGATATAGACATAGAGAGTACCTCATCCCAATACCTTAATGGAAAGTGGTACTGGCAACATTAAATAGGAGTAGGTCTGGCAACATTAAAATCTAACGGTGCCTCCAGCCAAAAGGCACTCACCAGGGGAGGCCCATGCAGAGTCCCCCCATTTTCAGCTAGCATTTTAGTTCAGTTTTTTTATTTAAATCAAATTTCCAAAACTAGTGAAAATTAATTCATTAATGGAGAGAAAGACTATGTTCTTTCTTATTTGAAGTAAATCTTGCTCCAGAAAACTAGTGAAAGTGTATAAATGAAATTTTCATATTATAGAAAGAGAAGGGAAATAAAATGGAGATTATTTCAATGACATCAGAATAATTCAATGCTTTCATATGCCTTAAGAGTTCTCATTTACAACTGGTGAATCCCAATGTTCTAAACTTTTTTTCCTAATTTGGCATGGAACTCCAGGGCAATTCTGCAGGGAGAAAGAGATAAAAAAAAAAAAAAACAGACTAAGGAAGAGAAAAGGGGCCAGACTCACTCTCCACCCAATATTATAGACTGATTCCAAGCCAAGGGCTGCTCCATCTTCACTCCTCTGGTATTTATTACCTGCTGAACTTTTCCAAATGCTTTATCAATTATGTTTATTACTAAAATAGCTCTATAGTTGATTTAACTGAGAGGTGATGGTGATGATGCTACTGATGATGATAGTGGTGGCAGTGACATAAGATTGATACAAGTACTCTTGAGAATCTAAATCTTTAAAGAGACATTGGGGGCTGGGGTTGTGGCTCAGTGGTAGAGTACTTGTCGATCACGCGTGAGGCACTGAGTTTGATCCTCAGCACCACATAAATAAATAAATAAAGTTATTATTATTATTTTTTAAAAAAAGCCTAGCACACACCTATAATCCCAGCAGCTCAGGAGGCTAAAACAGGAGGATCACAAGTTCAAAGCCAGCCTCAGCAATTTAGTGAGGCCCTAAGAAACTCAGCAAGACTCTGTCTCTAAATAACATATAAAAAAAGAGCTGGGGATGTGATTCAGTGGTTAAGCACCCTGGGTTCAATTTCTAGTACCAAAAAAAAAAAAAAAAGACATTAATACACCTTTACAGAATTCCATAAAGTTTAGTAGAAACATTTTTTTCTTTAGGGCTACTTTTCACACAAAAAAAAAAAAAATTAGAAGAAAGGAAGAAAAACATAACCAGTCACCACTCCCCAATAAATGTAGGAGTAATCTATTTTTTAAAATGAATAATTGTAATGCAATCAATACTGTTGGCCTCAAGCATGGAAATGTAAATAAAATTTCCCCTATGTCTATCCATCAAATAATGAACTCTCCCCTGAAGAAAAGCCATATTTTTCTGCCTTTATTAAAGTACATTCAGCAATCTGAATCCATTAGTTATTACTATTTCTAATACAAATTAAACCCAAAATATATTTTGCTAATGGAAAAAAAAAACCCACCCCAGGGATTTCTAAAACTGTCCAGGACCATTGGAATTGAGGCACTCAAAATCAGTCCCTCTCCTTAACTCTGCTAAAAGATAAATCTCCATTAAAACCAGTCTTTGCTTGGAGGCCTGCAGAGAAAACTGATGAAGCAATCAGATCTGAAATGCATTTGTTTGTGTTTACAGTAATGGGGGGAAATTACAAAACATGAATTTTATGAAGATCCAGACCCAGAAGACTTAAAAGTCCTCATTTATCTACAAATTGTTACATAAACAAAGGATGTAAGAAGTTAGATAAAGTAAAGGATGTTAAGGACAAGGAGGGAGAAATGACTTGATCCTTAAGTGCTAACATTTACAGGAAGCACCTGTTCTGAGAACAATACTCACAGCTCTGATAAAAGAATAACACTCTCATTTGAAAGAGAGAGAATGCTCCTAGCAAGGAGAGTTTCAATGAAACTCTATGTTGACAGAGTCAAAAACTGCCCAAGAAAGAAGTAGCATTTTCCTTCTTTCCTTTTCAGAGATCCATTCTCTTCCTTGGACAGGGTTTTCCGGACCTAGTCTTGAGCACTTGTCCTTCCCAGGAATACATGAGGAACACTTCTCCCAAAAGAAAAAAAAATCTAAGAATAAAGTTTAAAACCAAGCCACAGTATCATGTACTCCCAGTGCAGGTACTGTTTGTTGTAAAAGAAAGACTGATAAGGCCGGAGTTATAGCTCAGTAGTAGAGCACTTGCCAGCACGTGTGAGGCACTGGATTCGATCCTCAGCGCCACACATAAGTAATAAATAAATAAAGGCATTATGGCCAACTGCAACTAGAAATTTTTTTTTAAAGAGAGACTGATAAAGGACACTGCAGAAAAGATAACAGAGAGAGAAATTCTAGAATAAGCGTATGCAAGCAAAGACCAAAGTCCAAGCAAAGACCAAACATTTCTTAAAATCATCTGTTATTTTGTACCTCTGCACTGCAGTAAAACTGCCCAAATTATAATTTTTTAATGAATAAATAGCAAACATGGAACTATCTTCAGTATCACCCCTGTGATTTAATACTTCAATATTTTCTTTAGCCCTAGTATAAGACCAGGTTTCATTCATTTTCAGAAACAACAGTTCAGTAATCAAAAATGAGATCTGCCTCCAGTGAAGAAGGAAATGATGCTTTCTGCATCTTCTTCTTCAGTATTATTTCTAATAATATTAGCAGTTGTTCTGTATTGAGTACATAATAGGTATATTACATACTGATTTCAATTTCATAACTGCCTGGGGAAGTTGGCTTCATTATCTCCATTTTACAGATAAGCAAATGGATGCTCAGAGCAGTTAAATAAATTGCCCAGGATCAAAAAACTAGTATCAGAACAGTTCTAGAACTCAAACTCAGATGTTAAGACCTAACCTACACTTCCTCTCCAGAAAAACAAAGCCTACCACCTCTCTGAAATGCTCCTCTAAGTAACAAAGTGACCTGCCCCCCAACACACACACACTCCTCTCCTTGATTCTTAGACCAAATTTACCCACCCAGTGGGTCACCTTTCACTGGAGAAGAGATCCACAGATGTAGATAAACTTTTATCTCATTTGATGATAGTGCTAATTTCTCTATGCTGGTAGAGGATAAACGTTTATATAAAGAACTATTGTAGCTGGGTACAGTGGCGCACCCCGAAAATCCCAGTGACTCGGGAGGTTGAGGCAGGACAATCCTCAGCAACTTAGCAGGCCCTAAACAACGTGGCAAGACTGTATCTCAAAATAAAACACAAAAAGGCCTAGGGATTTGGCTCAGTGTTTAAGCACCCCTGAAATCAATCCCTGGAAAGGAAGAAAGGAAGAAAGGAAGGAAGGAAGGAAAGGAGGGAGGGAGGGAGGGAGGGAGGGAGGGAGAGGAAAAGAAAAAGAAAGAAAGAAAGAAAGAAAGAAAGAAAGAAAGAAAGAAAGAAAGAAAGAACTGTAGAATCCCATCCATTCTTCACTATGTTCCCTTAAATGACTTTTTAAAGATAGTTCTTAACTTTATAGGAATTTAGTTAGTTGTGTTTATATTTGGGTGGCAGAATCATGGGTGATTTAGGTTTCTTTCTTTTACTTCCAGTATTAATCAAGTTGTAAGTACCAAGAATGTATTGCTCTTGCAACTAAGGAAAAAATACAGTAAGTGTACATTTTAAGTATTTAAGTATTAACCCCCTAAAATTATTTTTCCCTTATACTTATTATTTCCCTTTTTCTTAAAAAAGAAAACATTCACTGAGCCAATATGATCATGGGCCCCAGCCTCCTTTGCTGACTGAAAATGGACAGTGGTAGCATGACCCATTTCTAGGCCTACTCCAGAAAATCCTCTTATATGAGAGACTCTGTGCTCTTCCCCTACAAATTGGGGAGCCATGTTTTGATGATGATTGAGCTAAATATGGAAGGAACCTGGGTGTCTGAATCCCACTAGGAAGAGCATTCAGGAATGCCATTTTGGACTTTACATAAATAAAAATTAAATGTGTGTTATGGGGGTGCTGGGGTTGTGGCTCAGTGGTAGAGCACTTGCCTAGCATGTTTGAGGCACTGGGTTCGATTCTCAGCACCACATATAAATAAATGAATAAAATAAAAAGGTCCATTAACATCTAAAAAAATTTTAAAAATAAAAGATTGAGAGGGGTGCTAACAATTAAAAAAAATGTGTTATGAAAGTCACTGTGAATTTGAGTTCCTCTGTTACACTACCTACTCCATGGCTTTATTAACATATTCCAATTTTTACTGCAGAAGGGTAAGAATCCACGCACCTTTTTCAAAGATTCCTTCTGCTTCCAGAACAGAGACAGTTAGGTTTGACATGGTCTTGAACACCTCCGCCTTGACAGTGACCTGTGAGGGGCTATGTTCCAGAAGCTCCACCCCAACAGTTATATTTCCTCCAGGCCTGATGATCCCTGGGGCTGTCACCAGAAAACAGGGCCTAAAGAGTTCCCAACAAGGGAAAAGACAAGTTTTTATCCTCACATCTTCATTCTTTTGTGACCCTACAATATCATAAAGAGTGAGACAGACTCTCCATACTGTCCTTATTGCAGTTTTACAATTAACGTTGCCCCACTGCTCCATTTAGCAATGCAGTTAAATCCTATGAAACAACAGTAATTCCCAAAACACTATTATAATGCAGTAATCCATGCATTACTATTAAAGGAAGGCTTGTTATTATTTCCATTTTATAAACCACAAAGAGCACAAGAGGAACTGAGATGTGAAAGGCTTACACTGGAGCATGCAGAACTTATAGGCAAGGTAGAAGCCTCCAAGTTTCTACTTTACAGATTAACTTCATCCCAGTGTGATTGCTTTTCTTGGCTTAAAAAAAAAAAAAATGACTAGGATTTTGCCCGTTTCTTATTCAAACCTTTATACTTGGGCATACAGCCAAGGGAAAAAAAAAAAAAAAAAAACATTGACTGAAATATACCATCTGAAAATAAACTACCAGTGGTGAAATTTCCGGGTAAAACAGAGGAAAAAAAAAAAAAAACACCTCACTAAGGTAGTTCATTATCTGCTAATTTGCTAAATCTACAGTTTAGGGATCAACTACGAAAATCTTTAGGAATGGGGCACTATTATCTTAAAGTTCTGATCTTTCTTTTTTTTTTTTTTTTAATTTTTTATTGTTGGCTGTTCAAAACATTACATAATTCTTGATATATCATATTTCACAATTTGATTCAAGTGGGTTATGAGCTCCCATTTTTACCCCATATACAGATTGCAGAATCACATCAGTTACACATCCATTGATTTACATATTGCCATACTAGTGTCTGTTGTATTCTGCTGCCTTTCCTATCCTCTACTATCCCCCCTCCCCTCCCCAGTTCTGATCTTTCTTATGAACACATACTTCAGGTACTTGAGCCCCACTTTGACAATGCCAAAGTTGAGACATCTTGTTTAGGAAAAAAATAATTATCCTGTCTTTGAGAGAAGGCAGCACATTAGTTGGAAGCAAAAGACTGAGAAGCAAAAGGCAGAGGCAACATGGGCTAAAAATAAAATTATTTTCTTTATAAAGTTGCTATAGCCATAAAGACGATTAAACATTATGGGTGGAGAACGCAATTGTCCCAGGAAGAGCCACCCTGCAGCGATAGGATCAAACATCCAGGCCAAGGTCGGGCTGGGGACTGCCACCGCGCAGCCGCTGCCACTTCCCGAAGCCCCGGCCCAGGCCCATCCGCGCCGCGCACCCTCCCCGCGCGCCCGCGCTCCTACCCGGGGCCCGCAGCCAGCGCGGCCGTGCACACGCAGAGAAGGTGGGCAGCGGTCAGGAGCGGCGGGCCTGGCATCTTGGCAGCGTCTGCTCGTGAGAAGGTCGGCTCCTGGGCAAATTCGCAGGCACTGCGGGGTGTGGCTTGTCACCTCCTCTCGAATTTTATCTCCTGACTCGAGTTTAGCAATCTGAAATGGGAGCGCCTAAAAGCGGAGTGAGAGATCTAAATTGAGACGGGACTAGGTGGCTCCACCCTTCCCACCCGCATTACAATGGCGCTTCTCTCAGCTTTGGCAAACTTCTCCAATCCAGGGGGTTAGAAAGCGGTCTCTAAATGCGGTCAGCCCAACCTGACCCCGCCATCCCTGCTCCCCGAGTAGACCTGAGGGCGCCCACTTCCCCGGCCCACCGGGTTCCTAGGGCTGTTTACACTAGCGCTCTACCAACGGTGCCCGGAGTGAATAAACAAGCCCATCCTTGTGAGGAGAAATTCATAGCAACTATGTGAAGTGGAAAAAAATCAATCATTGTCCTCCAGACTATGAGTCAGAATTTTAGAGAAATGCAGACGCGGGCGCCGGCGCCGGTATGCACGCCAAATGGGTACATTTGGAGGGTAGCTGTTTGATGTATAGGACTGGGAACAGAGAAAAATATTTTCTCCCTAAAACAAAAACTGAAGTATATTGCTTTCCTCGCCCAGAACGCGTTATGGTTTCTCCACTTTAAAGGAGGAGGGCGCAGTGTTGCTCAGTGGTAGAGCACTTGCCTAGCATGCGCGCGGCCCTGGGTGCCATGGGGGTTAAGGGGAGTGGTCCCCTGCCTCGTGCAACTCTGAGAAACAATTATCTGGGAAGAAGCTTTTATACTTACAACTCTCACTAAACATTTACTTCAGAAAGTATTCATAAGAACTGTAAAGCCTAGGGTAATTTGTCTAAACACAATTAGGGCCTGTTGGAATAAAGGCCAGTGGCCAGTGGTGGCGGTACTCAACAGTTATTGATCCCCATCTCTTCTCCTGGCTTGTCTGTAGTTCCTCCCCAGCCACCCTCTTTGGCACTGCCACCATCTTCAGATGACTCAGGTTTCACCATGACTACACCATAAAAGCAAGGAACTGCCAGAAACTGTTGGAAAACAGCACATTCAGTCCCTCACAACTTAAACTTTCTAATTCATGGAAAAGTTTTAGATGGTGACATTTTAATATGGGGCAAAATGCAAACGGAAAAGAGGTCAGCAAAAGAATGTCTCATGGCACAGTTATGTGCTAAATAAAGGAGAAAGTAGCACCTAGACCAACTGTGGTTTTTGGAGTCCAGGAACTTGCTTTCCTCCCTTTCCTGTTCCACCCTTTCTCACCCAGCTGAACAGCCTGCAAGCATCCCTCATTCCTCTCCCAGGGCAGCCTATCTTTAGTGACTGACCTCCTGTGCATGCGGGACTTGGGTATGGCCAGAAGTGTCAGAAGCTGCCTGTTCCTGACATAGCTGTTACTGTAGGGCTGGCCTCACCTATGCTGTTCAGAGAGGAAGATCAAGTTCAAGTGTGGGCAAAGTGCCGTGGTCTAAATAGTGCTTCTCACTCTCTGATGTGTATGAGAATCACATTAAAATGCAGATGTTGATTCAGCGGTACAGGATGTGGACAGAGATTCCTGCTTCACATTAGCAGACAGTGGATCATGGAGATTCTACACATAGGGACAATTTGGGGGCACTCAGATGAGCAAATGAAGTTGAGATCATTAAGATAATTCTCAAGCTTCCCCCCACACACTTTTTGTGGTGCTGGGGATTGAACCCAGGGCCTTGTGCGTATAAGGCCAGCACTCTTATCAACTGAGATATATCCCCAGCCCCTCAAGCTTTCAATTCAGAACAGTAGACAGTAAATTCAGGCAAGCAAATATAAGCAGGACTCCAAAAGACTAGTTGATAATGTTGCATTACAAGAGGACCTACAGAAAGATTCAGAACCACCTACTTATTTTATGAAATTAAATCTGTGTAGATTTTGAACTGATGCACCTTCCCAGTTTATGCCTTCCTTCTCACAATGCACATTTTTTAAAATTTTTCTTTAGTTATAGATAGACACAATACTATTTTATTTACTTATTTTTATGTGGTACTGAGAATCAAACCCAGTGTCTCACACATGCCAAGCAAACGCTCCACCACTGAGCTACAACCCCAACCCCCCCACAATGCACATTTGTTGAAAGTTTTAAACTTACAAAAATTTAGATGTTTGGGTTCGCATAAAGATGATGCTATTTCAAACTTGGTACAGAATAGCTACACAATTTAAAAAAAGGTTAATTAAAAATGTTCATCTCAGAATTTTGGTTTTCTTAATTAATTAAAAAAAAAACTTAAAATGGCCTGAACATCTAACAATAAGAGATTGGGTTAAATAAATGACTATATATCCATGTCATACTATACTCTGAAGTAATTAAAAATCATGGTGTTGAATTACAAATATTTATGATATATTATTGGGTGGGAAAAGTCTGTTGTTTTTTTTTTGTTTGTTTGTTTTTTAAAGAGAGAGAGAAAAAAATTTTTAATATTTATATTTTAGTTTTCAGTGGACACAACATCTTTTTTTTTTTTTTTAATGTGGTGCTGAGGATCGAACCCAGCGCCCCCAGGCAAACGCGCTACCACTTGAGCCACATCCCCAGCCCTGGAAAAGTCTGTTTAATAAAATAGAATTTAAGTGGGATTTCATTTTCATAAAAATAAAGTGTACATTCTCATTATAGTTATACATATTAAAGAAAGATTTGAAAGGTGTTCACCAAAATCTTATCAGAATCCTTGTGATTCCTGTATCTGCCATATTTCTGATGAAGAATATGTATTATTTTTCCTGTAGGAAGAAGAAAACAAAATGATGCTGCCTTAGTAAACAGTCTTTGAGGATGTATCCTAGAAACTCTTGAGTAAAATTCCTTTTTTTTTTTTTGGTATTAGAGATCAAACCCAGGGATGCTTAACCACTAGCCACATCCCCAGCCCTTTTTATTATTTGATTTTGAGCAGGGTCTTGCTAAGTTGCTTAGGGCCTCACTAAGTTACTGAGACTGATCTTGAACTTGCAATACCCCTGCCTCAGCTTCTCAAGTCACTGGGATTACAGGCATGCACTACCATGCCTGACAAGTTCATTAATTTTTAAATCAAAAATATTATGTGTGTTCTCCCATGAAAACTGAATACTCTTCAAGATAACAACCTCACACTGTTCCCATGTCCCTTCAGAACTGTCTTTAGTTTGTGGCTCAGTGACAATGGCAGACTGTTTGAAATGAGACAGACAGATACTAAGAAATCCTTGGAGGTGGTAATGCAGACCATATAGATAATTTCCCAAAGTCACCATAGATCAGCCAAGGGATGAAAGCTAAATATAGATAACAACAAAGAAAAACTGACAGACGGGGCTAGGGTTGTGGCTCAGTGGTGGAGTACTTGCCTAGCATGTGTGAGGCACTGGATTCAATCCTCAGCACCACATAAAAATAACTACAACTAAAAAAATTTTTAAAAAAACTTATAGAGAACTGAAACTCAAGCCCCTCTTACCACTTCCAACTTCAATGTCATGGGTAACCTGCAGAGAAGCTGCATATGTGTTTGGGTCACAATTCAGACAAACTGAAGGAGGAGATCCTCAGAGAACTTCAGCAGCTGCAGGCCTGAACACCACCTCACAACCAAAAAGTGAGCTAGCACTTGCTACAGCAAGTGTTCGTACCTGCCTTGCTCTCTTCCTACCTTGATCTTTAGAGGGTAAAAAGATACATAGCTCTCCTTCACTTTTGGCTTCCAAATTCATGCAAAATGTCCTATGGCCAACATGATCTAAAAGCACAAGCAAAGGGAAATCTGAGAAGTTCAGCTCTGTCTTAGAGAAGATGGCACAATACAAAGCCACCAAAGTCCATGCCTCATCTCAAATTTTAAATTTTTAATTACAATGTTTCATCATGAGTAAAACACACATTTTTAACATTTCTGAACTTATAAATCAATGGCACTTGGCATCCACATATACCCCCTTAACGATTTAACTTCAAAAAATAGAAAAATCATACTTTCACCTAATGTGATACAAATATCCCTTTTCTCTCAATTGTGTTGTTGTTTCTATTTAATCACAGGCCCTCTGAGTACCAAGAAATGCCCCCAGGGCTTTCCTGTATATTCCAGAAATTCTATCTCAGTGACTAGTGGCAACCCCTTATGATAAGGATCATTAATCACTCCAGCCAGTAGAGTAACCCCTTCTCTGGCTGTTGAGGCACTGTCAAGAGGAACCCCAAGTAGCCAGGTGGCAGTCTTAACTTTTGAATTTAACAGAACCATCATGGTGTCCCATAGTGGAAGCATTCCTGTCTTGGTACTGAGATCTCTTAAGAGCCCCATACTGCAGGAATGAGAAGCAAAAGTTTCACAAGTGGATCACTAGAGGTAATAGAGGAACCACTTACTTCCATCCCTTTCTTCTCACACCAGAGAAGTTGGCTTTAGGAGAAAAATATTCATTGCTGATTTTGAGCACATGCCACATTCTAGAATCTATTTTTTTTTTATTTTTGCAGTTCAAATTTTTAAAATTTCAGAAATATTATATATGGAATTAATGTCTACTTATATTCATCATGTATTTGAGATCCAGTTGGGAACTATTTATATAGATTTTTTTTTTTATCTAGGGGCAGAAGGAAGTTCCTGTCCACTGGAAGACAAGGAATGATTTTGAAATTAATAAGTGATAATAAATAGTGGTACATGGCCTTAACTTTCTATATGAGGGTTCAGAATTTGAAATTAGAATTCTGTACCCAACTAAAATATCAAGCAAAAACAAAGATGAGATAAAAACATTTTCAGAAATGGAATGGCTCAGAAACTTTGCTTTCTACATTTTCAAAAATTACTTTAGGAGGACATAGTGAACAAACCAAAGAAATAAGCCAAGAAAAAGGTAAAAGTATGTATAATCCCTGATAGTAATGAAGAAAGAATTTCTACTAGGAAGAACCCTGGGAGTAAGGTCCTGAGGGAAATAAAAGAAATCCTAATAGTATAGATATGCACAATGGAAAATTGAGACTGTGATAAAGTAAAATAGTGCAATAAAAGGGAAGGGAATTTAGAACCTCAATGGGAAACAAAACACGGAATTGAAAAAAAAATGTAAGCATGATTCATTATTTGGTTTTGCAGCAAAAAATTATATAATCATGTCATTGAAAGTGTTGTTTACTTACTTATTTATAACTTATAGGACAAAACACTGATAAAGAAGAGTGAGGAGTCAGATGTGATGGCCCTAGTCCCAGCTGCTCAAGAGGCTGAAGCAGAAGGATCACTTGAGCCCATGAGTTTGAGACTGGCCTGGGCAACATAGTAAAACATGAGTAAAATACACATTTTTAACATTTCTGAACTTATAATCAATGGTACTTTATAATTATAACTAGAAATTTATTTTTTGGTAATAATACGTAGAGAAAATGGTGTATCTTAGAACTGATGGTATCTTAGATTGATGAAATATGTGAAATATACTGTGTTTACAGAACAAAATGTGAATTGCATTAACATTTTAAAATGGAAAAAGTTCAAAAGACTAGGCATGGAACCACCACGCATCCGAGCTATACAACTCCTAAGTATTTATCCTAAAGAATTAAAATCATCATACTACAGTGATACATACATGCCCATGTTTATAGCAACACAATTCACAAAAACCAAACTATGGAACTTGCCCAGATGTTCATCAACAGATGAACAGATAAAGACAATGTGGTATATAAACACAATGGAGTTTTATTCAGCCATTAAAAAATGTAGTTACATCATTTGCAGGAAAATGGATGGAACTTGAGAACATTATGTGAAGCAAAATAAGCCAAACTCAGAAGGTCAAGGGTCATATGTTTTCTCTCATATGTGGAAGTTATAGAGAAAAAAGGAAAAGACGGGTGGGGGATGAGGATCTCAAGAAAATCAAAGGAAGATCAGTAGAGGAAAAGAACAGGGAGGGTCAGGGGAGGAAGGAAAGGGAGGGAGGAAGTGCTGGGGAGTGATATTGGCCAAATAATATTGTTCTATTATGTGCATGTACACAGTAAATCCCATCACTATGTACAAAAATTTGTGGAAAGAAAAAACATGGAAAAAGTACAGATGACAAAATTTAAGACGACAAACTGGGATGGAGAATTCAAGGGATGACCAAGAAGGTAAGAAACTTATAAAGTAAAAAATTATGTGCCTACTGTTTTTGGATCAAGAAATAAGGCATAAGCATATTAAAGGTAAAGGTATTATGAAAATATAGGAAAAACCAAACCAAAGTATATTCCTATTCCCATACACTCACCTGTACACACTTCACCTCTGTTCAATGAAATGTGTGGGGTTTCCTCCTCAAACCGACCAAGCAATCAATCTCCAGCAGATATGCTAGTGGACAACAGTCAGTTGTTCTCTGAATCAACTCAATTCTGACACTAGCTGGAAATAGCATCAGATCCCAACAGATTCACAAGACTGTTTCTTCACTTCAGATGCCAATGGAAAACACAGGTTGTGATCTGCGATACTGACACATCAACTATAAATTGCAGTCTCACAATCCTCTCCTTGGATTCGGTTAATTTGCTAGAGTAGCTCACAGAACTCAAGGAAACTGTGTAGGTCAGCTTTTCATTGCTATGACCAAAATACCTGAGAAAAACAATTTAGAGGAGAAAAGATTTATTTTGCCTCATGGTTTCAGAGGTTTCAATCCATGATCTGCTGGCTCCATTGTTTTCTGTCTGTCTGTGAGGCAGAACATCATGGCTGAAGGGCATGGCAGAGGAAAACTGCTCACCTTGTAGAAGAGAGAGAAAGAAAGTGAGGCAGGAAGGGACTGGGGGAAAAGACACAGTCCCCAAAGTCATGCCTCCAAAGACCCAAATCCTTCAACTAGGTCCCACTTCCTAAGTTTTCATCACCTCCCAAAGGTCCATCAAATTATAAATTCATTAGTAGATTGATCCATAGGGTTAGAGCCCTCATGATCCACTTACTTCCCAAAAGCTCTACCTTTGATAATTGCTGCATTAAAGACCAAGTCTTCAACACATAAGCCTTTGGAAAACATTTCAGATTCAAACCATAAAAGAAACACTTTACTTATGCTTACCTATTTATTAAGAAAGGATATAATAAAGAATACAGATGAGCATCTAGATGAAGAGATACATAGGGCAAGGTCAGGAAGGTTCCAAAGCACAGGAGTTCCTGCACCTATAGGAGTTCATATACACCATGCTCCTAGCATGCAGATGTGTTCAACAACCCAGAAGCTCTCAGAACCCAGTAATTGATGGATTTTTATGGATGCTTCAACATGCAGGAATGTCTGATTATTAACTCTATTTCCAGCCCCTCTCCTTTCTTCAAAAAGTGGTGCTGAAAGCTTCAAGCTCACAATCATAGTTGGCCTTTCTAGTGACCACTCTCAATGCAGAAGTCCACAAGAGTCATTTCATTAGAACAAAAGACAATCCTATCACCCAGAAAATTCGAAAGGGTTTAGGAGTTCTATGTCAAACACTTTTATTCTTAGGAGCTCTGTGCCAGGAACCAGGTTCAAAGACCAAATATTATAACACAGTAGCACGCTTATCTTCAGGAAATTACAATGACTTTAAGAACTCTGGCAGAGACTAATTTGTATAATTAGTATTAGTCCACAAGTTAGGAATTAAAATATTGATGTTATTACCATAAAAATCACAATAAAACTAAAGAGTATTTTCCAAAAAAAAAATTACCAGAAAACACAAAATCACAGCTAATTTGAGTTCTTACAAAGTCCCAAGCATACTAGTGCATGGTTTCCATTATAAAATTTTTAACAACATAATACCTGGGGAAGATGACCTCCACCAGTGCTAGCTTGGAAATTGATAGATGTCACCCAATAGAATGATTTATAAACAAACTAATTGACTGATTAATAAGCAAAGAAACAATCTTGGAATAATATGAACAATAAACTTTTATTTCAGATCCACAATTCTGTAGCCAGCTGAGGCAGCTTATAACTCCATGTTTCTCATTCTCCATGGTCAAGGACAGAGTCGAGAATAGGTGGCATGTTCTACATTTCTTTTAGAAGAATAAATTTTATTATATGCTAAGGATATGGATGGTAGAAAATTGGAAATGATAATTCAGTCTACCAAAACAGTTACCAAAGTTTGACCAAAGCCATGTTCTGTTTGTCAGAAAAATATTCCCATGAAGACCAATCAGCCTATCAAGGAAATAAGGAAGAAGGAAGAGAGAAAGAAGAAGAAGAGGAAAGAAAGAAAGAAATTTTTAAATTCATGGATTGGTAATGATTTTTAAAATTAGTATTTCTAGAGAATGCTATATCATGAATTCATTAAAGGGAAAGAATTAAGCTCTATTCTGACTTTCCTTTATGAACTATATCACTGGATACCAAATAGTTTATTTGGGAAAATTTCCCTTAAAAGTTTTCCAGCTTGTTAATGTAAAATGGATGTAAGAATAATACAGTATCACAACTATTCATGAGTTAATGTGTCTAGAATAGTGCTGTGCAATACAACTTTCTGTGATTATGGAAATGCTCTGGTTATGGAAAATTTCTTAGTACAGTATCTATGAACAACCTGAGTTTATTGCACATTTGAAATGTGACTAGTGTATTTGAGAAATTTAACTCTAAATTTAATTTAAGTTATTTTACATTTACATAGTCACATGTGACTGATAACTACCATATTGGATTGCAAAGACCTTAACAAAGATCACAAGTACCTGCTAGTATCACAAGGGAAACATCCAGATACCATGTCCTCCAATAGAACAACACAGCACCACCTAAGAAGTGGGATTTGCTTCAAAATAACAGAAACTACTCTAAATCCATTAGGATGACTATTATTATTTTTTTTAAAAAATGCCAAGTGTGGTGGCACAAACCTGTAATCCCAGTGATTCAGGAGGCTAAGGCAAGAAGATAGCAACTTTGAGGGCAGCCTGGGCAACTTAATGAGATCATGCCTCAAAATAAAAAATAAAAAGAGCTGCGGATATAGTTCAGTAGAGAGTACTTTGGGTTCAATCTCTGGTAGTGCAAAAAGAAAAAAGTTAAATGTACGTATTTTTCAAAGGAGGCAGAACCAGGACTCTGTGTCTAGATTTTTCAACCAGGTCAACATTACCCATACATAAAAAATTGTGTCACATTGACCTAATACTTTTGCTTTGCTCTGTTAGCCACATTTTAACTTCTTGGCATCTCCTACTTTTCTCTCCCCACCACCTGCCCAATTTTTTTATTGGTGCATTACAGTTGTACATAATGATTGGATTTTTTGTTACATAATCATACATGCACACAATATAATAATTTAATTTGGCCAATATCACTTCACATCTATTTTTCATTTTATTGTTCATTTTTGGGTTTGGAACGCCTTCTATGTAAACTTACCTCAAAATAAGCACTACAGAATGGCTTCTGAAAAGCTATGCATTGCCTCACTCTGCTTTGTATTCCTTTGCCAGAGTGGTTGGAAGCTATAATAGAAAACTTTCTAGGCTCAATTCAGCCATGCATGACCATGAGACATAATTCCAGACAATAAGAGGTAAAAAAAAAAAAAAAAAAAAGACTACAGAGGAAGACTTTCCTCCTGAAGGGAGGCTTGATCCTTCACTCTTCCACTCATCCTACTCAGAGCACAAGCATTATACTTTGCAACTCACAAGACAAAAGCCAGGAAGAATTTAAAAGAGAGAGAGAGAACACTGGATTACTGAATGCACAATTAAGCAGTTATAGCAGCCCTGGCTTGCTCCAAATGCCCACTTTCCCCTCAGTCCACCTGCTTTTGGGGGAGCTCCTGAGTTAGTGCCTGACTTTCAGACTGAGCCTTTCCCCCAGGACTCTCCCTGGGGGCAAGCTTGGCCAGCCGCACAGTGAACCTGCTGATACCTCAAAGCTATATGCAGGTATTTATATCCCTTTCAGGACTTGTCCCAAATATGAAAGTAATCCCTTGCATCCTGTCAGCTCACACAAAATACAATGGACTATTGAGGTCAATGATTTCAACCAGGTTTAAACTTTCTTGACATAGAGCAAAGTCTCCACCATTTTGTGTGTGTGTGTGTGTGTGTGTGTGTTTCTGGGGATTGAACCCAGGGGCACTCTACCACTGAGCTACATCTCCAGTCCTTTTTATTTTTATTTTAAAAGAGAGTCTAACTAAGTTGTTGAGGCTGGTCTTGAACTTGGGATGCTTCTGCTTCTGTCTCCCACGTAGCTGGGATAACAAGCATGCCCCACATCACACAGCTATCCACCCATTCATAAATATTTTTTCTCTTGAATATGGCATACCCTTCCACAGTCATGTTTAAGTCATGAGTATCACCCAATTATACTGCAGTGACTGCTATAAGATTATATTTACTTTCTTGCCCATGCCTTCCTGTAATCCCAGGCTAGGGAGGCTGAGGCAGGATCACTAGTTCAACGCCAGCCTCAGCAATGGCACCTCAATGAGACCCCGTCTCTAAATAAAATACAAAATAGGGCTGGGAATGCCGCTCAATGGTTGAGTGCCCTGAGTTCAATCCCTGGTACAAAAAAAAAAAAAAAAAGATTATATTTACTTTCTTGTGCTAAAATGCATTTTCCTGTTACACTTCTAGCAAATCACAGATTTTTTTCAAAAAGGAATTATAAGAAAAAGAACAAAAATAATATAAAACAATTATATAAATCTGTACCTAATATATTTAGAAAATAGTGTACAAAAATAAAAAGGCTTCAATTGGAAACAAATAAGAGAAATTATGAATCCACTCAAATCACTGGGTTTGTTGTCTCAGCTTCACTCTTTTTGGTTACCTGCCTGTAGATTTTGGACTCACTTCTTTTTCAGCCATATACAGTTTTATTTTCTGGGACTGAGGCTGTAGCTCCGTGGTAGAGCGCTTGCCTAGCATGTGTGAGGCCATGGGTTCAAACCTCAGCACCACATAAAAATAAATAAATATAGTTTTATTTTCTTCTGAGAAAGCACTATCTTAAATTTTTGAAGTATAACATGGCTCCCAAGAATACAACTAAGCCAAGCAAAATGCCACACACCTGTGATCCCAGGTACTTGGGAGGCATAGTCAGGAGTATTGCAAAGTGAGCATAGGCAACTTAGTGAAATTCTATCTTAAAATTAAAAACAGGGGAAGGGGATGCTGGGGATGTAGCTCAATAGTAAAGTGTTTGCCTAGCAGGCATGAAGCCCTGAGTTCAATCTCCTGTAATGAAAAAGAAAAATATACCTAAAAAACATTTACAATGTTTTTCTCATGTCTTCCTTACTGTTGTTAGTATTGAAATATAAAATGCTGCCTTTCCCTGTTTGATAAAATACTAAGCTTTTTTTTTTAATTACCCAAGGGTAAAGAATTTGCAGTATTTTAACCATAAACTACAGAAACTTTTATTTTTTAATTAATTGATTTTCTTTATTGGTTCATTATGATTGTACATAATAGTAGAGTTCATTGTGACACACTTGTACTTTCACATAACATAATTTCATCAATTTTATCCCCAGTGCCTCTCCTTTCTCTTCCCTCCTTCTTCTCCCGATTCCCTTCCTCTACTCTACTGATCTCCCTTCTGT